TTTAAAAAATATATCATAAAAAATGGGCGAATTTTATTTGGAATGAACCTAAATTTCAAACTGTGAAAGGAAGAATAAAATAAGTTTAACAAAAAAAGAGAGATTAATAAATATATATCAAACACAATTAACATTGAGGAGCTAAAATTTTGAGAGCTAATTATTTAAAAACTACTGGTGCGATTTTTACAAAACTTGATAGTTTGATGTAATTTGAGTTGTAAAATGGAAATACGGACACAAATTGATATGTTATTTCAGAAAAAGTCAGACATTGTGACAAAATACCTATATTAGAACACTGCTATATATAAATCTAGTACATATTCTAAGTCGCGCTTTCGATAAACGCAAGTTATGTTTCATCAATCGGCCCGGTAGAATGGGAGATATAGAACTGCACCCTTTTTTTTCGCTGTGTACACACAACATAAACGATGAATAACTTTTCGAGGTGGTATCTTTGACATTCTCCTTGACAATCTTTTAGGAATATTTATAAGTAAACTCTACTTATGTAAACTCAGTATATTCACTGATGATAATAATTTTCATTTCAAGCAAGAAACACCGTTTCTATTTATAAAATAATTAGCATTGCATAAATTTACTTCAAAATGAATATCGTTAATTTTCGCGTGCAATGAATGATAAAAAGTGACAAACTCTGAAAATATTTCTTACAGGTGGAAATCTCTCTTTTTCGGTTGTCATATTTTCCTTTTTTATTATTATAATTTTTATTATTAAATTGAAAAGAGCACTAAATTGTATACTACGCATTTGTAATTAAAGCAGTTTTAATAATATTCTAGTATAAAGTATTATCCTAGTTTTAAGATGTAAGTTTTCTTAATTAATATTACTCAAATACAAAAATTTGCCAAGTTGCGCCTTTGTTTCATGACGTAACTTCATTGACGTAATTTGTTCTGGTTATTTGATCAGACCGATGTAACGATATATTCTGAAATCTTGACAAGTTAAATGTTTTTCCTCTTGTCATTCTAGTGCTTAACGACAGACAAGCATAAAAAATTCAAAACAGTTTATTCATTCCGAAACCGCACATAGCCGGTACATTCTAGTCAAGAAGGACGATCCCACCTCGTAACGACTTAGAGAATCAATACATAATACTGTTTCTCAATAAGTTGACTAGACTGCCGAAACGCGTATAATGCGTCTTGTTTATGGCTGAGGATTGCCAGAACTCTGTCTGAAGATCAGAGTTTTTAGATTGTAGACATGTAAATCGCTTTTCGAGCAAAGGAAAAATGCTCTGATTTTAGTTTCCTTATTGGTTTAATTTCCTAATTAGCACATTTAGTTTCCTAATAAAATATTACTAGCATTGCTAATTTAATCAGGTTATGCACATAATTTAATACAATAATAAATTATAGGTAATATATATAATACTTCTATTTTAATACGCATATATTAAGTAAATTGACTTAACACCACTAATGAGATCTATTATAATCTGCATTTTTCCAAAGGCGGAGGGTGGTGTGGTGTATTTAATTACGGCAAAGCACACTAGGGCTATCTGCCTAAGGGGAGGGATGCCTTCGTGGAGGACTTTCTAAGGGAAACTGGCTCGTATACACGTTACACATGGGGAAAACCACAAAAACACCCATGCAGCCAGCCTGTTTGCGGGATTCGAATCTCGGACCGAACTGCCAGTGTTCAGCGACTTTACCGCTCGGCCGCTGGTGGGCTTCCAAAGGCGGAGGGAGTAAACGGTTTTGATTTGGAATATTTCCTATTTTCATTTTAAAGTGTCCATAAAGAATTAATATAACCATGTAAAATTAGCCGAAGTATAGTAAATCAAACATAAAAATAAATTAAGAAATGTAAAATAAATCAAATAGTTCTTTAGAGATAAAAGAACAATTTAAAAACTGGTAGGAAAGTAAGTAATTTAAATAGTCGCTTTTTAAAAGCGTTCCTCATTTATTGCCTTCTGTAAGTTCCATTCATTTTGAAGCATTTATCCTAACTCTATCACCAACGAAACAGCTATTTAATATTATCATTTATCTTTCTTGTAGTATATAAGACAAACATTTCAATTATTTGAACTTAATTTTTCTATTTTATTTAAATTATATATATATATACCGCGCTGCCCTTCCTTACACAAGGTAATATTATTCAGTAATAATATTACCTTATACGTATTTACTCGCGCTCCCCTTCCTTAAGGCGTTCAGAAAGCGAGCTTCCCTAAATTTTAAAACTGATTCTACAATCGTTATTTTCGTCCTACTAACTGATTTGCTTGTGGATTTGGGGTGCACGGGTTCTGACTAATGGAGAAATAATAGTGAAGAGCTTCAAAAAAACTAGAAATCTATGCTGTTGATGGTTCTATAGTTCATTGTATGTGAGAATGCTGATTGAGAGGTAAAGAATACGATGACAATGGTAACGATGTCGACGACTTGCAAACCGTAGCACATACAACAGTTCCAGTATCACTAAAGTTATTTAATACCTAGAGAGTAGCAGTGACAACAAAAAGAGAGGAGCAAGATTCAGCATACAGAGAAGCTAAATTGAAGATACCTTATTAGATATTTTAATTTTAATAGTACTGAGTATTCTTATTACAATGTAGATTTCTTTTAAATAAAAAAATTGTGATAGTTACTGGTACTTTACCTATGAATAATCATACTGGGGCGACTGATCACGATTTTCATTTTGGTTCTGCGGAAGTTATTCAAAATTTCTTTAGTTGGATTTTCTTAAATCTTTTGATGTATACAAAAAGAACGGAACTGTGCCGGATCACCCTCAATATCGATACAGTTTTATTCCAATTGTATGCTCAACTAAGTTGGATTTTCATGCCTAATTTTAAGCTCAAAACTCATACTGTAATCGTCTTGTGCAAATGCAAGTTAAAATATTGTGTTGTTATGTATCCAGGTTATTTAAGATTATATGATATGTTTAAGATTCATACCATAGATTTAAAAGCTCACTTGAGCTGAATTTACGTTTGTTTATTAGAAAAATTAAATATGCCCCCACTTTTGCATCAAATAAAAGAATTAGGATGGAAGGTTGCAAAAATCTGGAATATACCAGTGTTATTGCAAATAGTTTCTTCCTACTTCATCTAGACCATAGAATGACGAAATACATTTAATCAAGAGGAAACAATTGAAACTGCTCAAAAATGACACAGCATAGATTAACGGAAGACGGCAAAACAGAAGCTAGAAGACTGATTTAAAGAAAAATGAATGGCAGCGTTAAATATAGGTGAGAAGAGGGGAAATAAAAAGGTTTAATGAGCCATAATGCTATAAAAAGAAGGATGATGATGATTTATGATTTAATTAGAGGACGTTCAGCTGAAAAATTGGTCCGCACATTAAATAAATTTTTTGAGTATACTTTGCTTACATTGTTTTTTACCCTTCTAGTGTTAATCTGTTTATATGCAAGAGTATGAGTAGATGGGAGAGTTTTTCAGAAGCGTAAATATTTTTTATTATGGAATGTGCAAGCGAAGTTCTCAAAGGTCTGTTATCTTTTACTAGGAACGGAGACCTTTTCGAGGTTTGCTGAGCATCCCTTAACTACTACTTCAATTAAACCTTTAGTCAACGAAAGAGGAGATGCATTTTCAAATGTTTATATTTGAAGTATGAAACTGCAGGACCTGCCAGTTTGGTAAAATAAAGAATTAAATATGAAACATAACAACAATGAAACCATAATTTCAGTAATAATATTACAATATTTATGATGTTTATCAGGGAAATAATTAATTCTACAGAAAAAAATAATAAAGTGTTTTGATGAATATATAGCGAGGAGTAAGCTATATTGCCGTATTTTTCATCACATTCATGTATGATCATTATTTTGGAACAGCTTCGTTCGTGGCGACCTTTTTATTTCTGATATTTTACCCAAAAGAAGCATGCTTTTATGTTAATGCACATATCTGTATAAAAAATTTTCAGACACGACGTACACAAAATCTGTATTCGTATACTGAATCTTTTTATACCTTACATAAATCTATGCTGAGCCATATCAAGGCGATGAATAATCGAATCACCTTTCTTTGAAACAACCATTCACGCTAAAACTGTAAGAAGCGTGAATGGCCTAGATGTTCATTGCTTACTGCAGAAGGAATGAGCACTCTCGGATATAGCAAGATGGTTTGATATGTCATTCAGCAGATTTCACTATAAAAATACCAGAGGAGGTTTTTGTAGACACATTCATAGCTCTGGTCACCAAGAGTATGGTTACCGAGATCACCATATCTTACCAGTAGAGAATATTTTTGGGAACACTGAAAATAAATTATGTACATAAACAATACACTCATCATAAAAGAACTAAAAATGAACAGCGCTGTTTTCATACAGAATACACATAAGCAAAGGTTTTGTAAAATTTCTAAAAGCATAGTAAAACATGTAGACAAATGCACTGAATTTGGAGGTATGTCCTTTCCAGCGTAATACTACAGGCAAGGTATGTACGCATAATGCTGAATTTACGCTATAAGAGTATGTTGAAGATTTTGATAAAGATTTTAGAATGCTATTATCAAGTTTGAACTCCCAGATGAGTTCTATTACTCACATAAACATTTTTCTAGTAGTTCCAATACGTATAAGATTCTTTAGTTTTCTTCTTTCCCGTTATTATCCAAATAACTTCTTCATTTGGGAAATTAAATTTCGGAAGTCTTTTTATTACATCTCATTCTCTCAGCTGAAAACGAAGTTCCATTATTAATTATTCGCACTATTTTATTGCTCATATATGCATTTCACTAATCCAATACTTCTTTTGTTCCAATCTAACAGAATTTTTAATATAAATGCTAATCAATAACTTAACAAATTTGTTAAGAATGGCTTAAAATTAACTATACCTATAAAGTAGAGGGTAAAAATTCTAAAAAGAGCAAAAAGCATTTCGGATGTAATCTTATTCTAGGTAAGTACCTCTTTCTTTCGCTGATAAATTTCTCACGTAAGAGTTTCTTTCAGCCCAAAATTCTTCGTTAACTCAAGACAAAATTATCCCAGCATCTAAACGGCACATGAGTCTAAAAGAATGTTCTTTTTGGCTTAGAGTCCATTATCTCTCAACCTCATTTCCTGCGTTTCGAGAAACGTCATCTCAGTAAGAGCATGCGACTGCTAGAGGCTCCTCCATTTTGTGATCCAGAAAGAATGGCGCACTTTGTTACTGCTTAAGGATTCAAGCATTGTTCTGCTGACTGTCAGTTTGTATAAGGGAAAACAGCTCTATTGGGAATATTTATGGTCTTAAAAAAGCTGAAAAGTTTTGATCACGTATGTTCATAAACTATTTATCACTTGAAATTATTATATGAAACTTTAAAGAATTTTGAATTGGGTTGAAAACTTATCACAGAATTTTCTTTAAAAATCAAAACTTGGATGCATGTTTTTTGAGTGAATATTTTAAAGCAAGGAAAATATTGCATAGTTCTAAATAAATGCAGATTTATTTTACAAATAAAAGAAAGGTTGTCTTTAGAAATACATTCATAACTATCAAAGATAAAACTCCAATAAAGCATTAGTTAAGATTCCGGATATCTTGACATCGTATTTTTTGTTTAAATTATTTTTTTCATATGCCTATTTTAGCTCCTGTTTTTAACTTCTAATCAGGAATTAATTACTTGCGACGCCTTGCCAAAGAACACAAATTAAAGATTATGATGTTCGTAATAGAGTTAACGATAAAAATTAATATATTTAGGATAATGTCTTAAAATATTACTTTCGCTTATGTTTAGCATATTAATGTGTCACAAAGGGTACATAATTATGAAACGGAGTGAATATATAACTCCTAAATTAAATAAAGTAATTGTCTCGTTAATATTTCCTCTCAGAAGGACAAATAAAACATTTTGAGTATAATTACAATTTTATGGAATTTAGAAGACTGGGGGTCACTCCAAAATGATTATTTAAATGGTTTTAGAGTAATTTAATTAGGAAGTCTGTTAAATCTTAAAAGAATGTAAAACATCCCGCAAGTTTTCAAATGTAACTTAGAGTAAATGAACTCTTTTTCTTTAGACTTGCATTAAGAAATACTTTGTAAATTATTAATAAAGTAAACCTAATACTATGTAATACTTCACTTATTTCGTTGCTTTTTTATTATTAGCTTATAACATGAAGTTTTCGAAAAGACTGTATGACCAACTCTCTTGATTTTCTAGATATTAACACAGATAATTACTGTGCAAATCAGTTAGAATGAAGCAAAACGTAATATAGGAATTGTCTTTGAAGTACTTCATTCAGCTTAGAAGATAACTTAAAGAGAAGGTGCCTTACATTGAACCTGAAGACAACAAATGAGACAGAATTAACAGCGCCACACATGCAGATAGAGTAGAGCAGCTGCAGCGATCGTTTTGGCACGCTTACCAAATATTTTCTACTGTTTTTCACTGTCACATTTCTGTTTATTGGGCATCACAATCTTGTAAGATTTCTGCCTGTTTGCTCTGGGAAAGCAAAGAATCCTTTTTGGTACTTGATTAATTGAATTCCATATAATGTTTAAGAAGAGGGATAAAAGGAATCTTCGCTGTAATTCAAAACATCTGAATGATAGTTTTAGCAGTTTATAGATGTACAATGCGAAAAAAAATAAAGGGGGGGGGAACAGTTCTATATCTCCCATTCTAATGAGCCGATTGACGAAATTAAACTTGCGTTTTTCATGTCTCAAAAGCGCGACTTAGGATATATATTAGCATCGTTCTAATATAGGTATTTTGACACAAAATCGGACTTTTTATGAAATAACACACCAGTGTTTTTCAATATTTTACTTCTAGACTCAATTTAACCGCCAAAACTACCCAGTTTGTAAAAATAAGAAAAAAATTAAAATTTTAGCTCCCAAAAATAAAAATCATTCACTTTTTTATTAATTTTTAATTAAATTTTAGTTTTAAATAATTTTTATATTTTTTAAAAAACATTTTTGAATTATAATCTATAAGAATTTTACCATCGTCTTAAAGTAGACATATGTCTAAGCATACCTGCAAAAAATTACAGTTTTTATTCAAAATTCGGAAGATATACGTGAATTTATATATTAGCCCGTTTTGAAATTTAGCATATTTGTTGAAAGCGATAAAATATCAAATGGGGTTTAGACACTTTCCTAAAATTATTTGGAAGTAGAAACGATGTGACTTTTTTCCCTCTCATGCACACTGTAAGAAGGTAGGAACAAAATGCCTCCGCATAATAGAAGGGAAAGGAAAATTGGTTGCCACATATTAGGAGGTTCGTCAAGTGAATTATTATTCTTGGCGCAAACTGAAAAAAAATTTCGCCAAGATAAATTGTTGAACTTCCCCATAAATGTTGCACCAAATTTTACAAAATTTAATATCCAGGCATAATTTAAGTCGTAGAATTGAAGTATGGAAAAAAATTGATATGTTATTTCAGAAAAGTTCGATTTTGTCTCAAAATACCTATGTTGGAACAATTCTATATATAAATATAATATATATCCTACGCTTTCGAGACATGAAATACACAATTTGTATTTTTTCAATCGGCCCAGTAGAACGGGAAATATAGGTCCCATTTTTTTTCCGCGGCGTACAGGCTCAAAAATAGAATAGCATTACTGCTTGCACTTTATTAATAACCGTATAAAAGTTACGTAACAAGAATATGAAAATTTTTAGATTTGATTTAATTTTAAAAGTTATACAAAATATTACCATTTCCCAGTTATTCTTGAGGGCTTGTGGCACAATCTGTAGAGCGGAAGAACAAAGTTTTGTTAGGAGTTCAAGTCCTAATGGAACGCACTAACGGCCCTGACGCATTCACTGTTCTCCTCTTGATTAATGCAAATATGAGCCATTATGTAATTGCCTGGCCCACCAGCGGCTGAGCGGTAAAAGCCGCTGAACACTGGTAGCTTAGTCCAGGGTTGGAGTCCAGGCGCGAACGGACTGGCTGCATGGCTACTTTCGTTGTTTTCCCCATGTGTGACGTGTATAAGAGGCAGTTTCCGTTAGAAAGTCCTCCACGAAGGTATCCCTTTCCTGAGGCAGATAACCTTAGTGTGCTTTGACATAATCTAATAATGAGAATCTAGATATAATTCCCAGTTCTTATGAATTCCAAAATAAACGGGACTTTCTACACGTACTGGTGTGCCTACTCATATGCGTTACATTTATGCCTAGCTTTCAAATATACTTAACATAAAAAACTCATTACTAATTTCTCCAAATAAATAGAAGAGAGCTCGTTTGTGAGAGCAGAGCTGCTGTGTATGTTTGCATTCTATAAAACCGCGGCGTTGAACCAAATTTTCCGTAATAATAATGAATTATTCAAAACTTATCTACAGAAAAAGCTAATCCTATTTTAGACAACTGAAACTTATTAGTTTCACCTCGTAAGTCTTTAACAACAACAGTGTCAAGCAAGGAAACAGATTAATTTCAAGAAAGGTAAACAGAGTTTAATTACATTTTCTCCTTCCAAATCAAATTTAAAATTAACTTTTAGCTTTAAATGGAAAAAAATATTCTAGGGTATTCGGCATTTTAGTAGCGCTGAGTATAATAGAAACGTGGGATAAAACTTTAGATCTGTTTAGATGGAATTTAAATGTCAAAGGTCAAATCAGAAATGCAAAATGAAGTGCGGTGTCTTCTATACCTTCAGGAAATAGCATCAAAGCTAACACTGTATAGGAAGAATGAATTAATTATGAAAGGAGGCTTAAAGTAAATAAACAGATCAGATGAGAAATATTTATTTTTATACTTTTAATAGAAAATATTTTATACTTTAAATATTTATTAGTGTTGAAACGTATGAAAACATCTATAAAGACGCTTTTAGTGAAGCAATGGCAGAAGATCCGGGTGATGTAGACACAGGTAGGAGAGTGTAAACGTTCATACAAACAAGCGAAAAGCTGCATAGTGATACTTCTAAACTCTAGGAATTCTGCATGGGTCATGGTCCATATGTGAGCTATTTATATCGTTTCGGCTTTTGGGATAGTGATTGATACACATTTGGAGGCATTGGTGATCCTGGCAACTATTTATTCGAATACCCTGAAACGAGAAATTTACACCTTCGAAAACTATCCAAAAGCTAAAAATATAGGCAGCTAAAGTAATCTAAAAGTATCTGCAGCAACTCATACGCAATTAAATACATTCACAGGTGCACCAATGTAGTTTTCTCAAACAGATCGTAAGACTATTGAGTACTTCCAATGATACTTTTGTATGCATAAATACTTTCTGCAGTGTAGTTCCGAATAAACTTAATTCTATTCATTTTATTCCTAGCACTACGCAGTTTTCAGTATGCATGGTTTTCAGTACAGTTGTACAAAGGCATATAAACACTTTTACGCATTTTGTTCGAACGTGTATCTCCAATGAAAATTCTGCATAATAGCATTAACAGTACATGTTCAACAGTTTTGTAACGACGTGTAATGTCGTAACACAGTATTACACTATTAATAAAAGGTTATTCATTGTTAAATATATGTACTTGTACCTGTGCACCAATGTATTTGCACTATAGAAGTGCACGAACTTTTCTAACAGTATTTGTGGACAATATTGTACAGTAATATTGTCCTTATATATATCTGTAATAGTTGTTTGCCATGTATACTTCTTTACATATGATATATACCAGTATGTTTGGAGCTCGTCACAGACTCTTTCCCGACAACCACTTAAACGATGAGCTGTTTAGCCGACAGCAGTTAACCGACAGGTTATTTAACGAACACGTAGATTTAGCCGACAAGTACATTTAACCGACTCGGACATTTAGCTGACAGGACATGTTAGCCTACACAGATATTTAGCAGACAGGTCATTTAGCCGACAAGACGTTTAGCCGACAGCATGTTTAATCGACAACACAGTTAGCAGACAAGCTTAATTAATAGCGCGTACACGGAGACAAAACATGCAACAATAGTTTAGCAAACTTTGGTCATGTTTACCTGACAAAAGGTCGTTTCC